ATCATCAGGAAATCACAGTCAGCAGGCAACCCAGCCCCACTGGAAGTTTATTTCTCATATTTGTTCATCACCAGGGCAATCCTCCACCTTTAAAACATCTCTGTAGTCTAGGTTAACTAAATAACGTCCTGCAGGCAATACCGTCTAAAGGAGGCAACTAACAAAGCGGTCTTTTTATGCAGCTGATTTCTACTTTTGATACTAACTGGATCATTCTCCTGCCCCCTTAGTTTTCCTGTTCCAATTGCAGGGCCAACATCCGAGACCACTTTTTGGTTAAGTGCTATTTCTCCTTCCCTCGACTAGCCTCAGATACATACTCTCCATATTCCACGATGCCAGCCAGAGCCATGAAGATCATTCGAGGTCACTCCCCTTTCCCGATGACCAATGTGACTGGCAAATGAGGGGCCCCACAGAGGCAGTTTGGGGAGGTTACAAAAAGGGGCTGAGAGGGCTGCCCGGATCACATTTCAACCAGAACAGGCCACTTCTATCAAATTTCTATTTCTTCATAAATTTATCAGCTCATACATTTTCCTTTAAATAACACTATTTGGGTTTTCAAAGTTTAAAAACTCATGTGCAATAAAACTATCCAATCACCAGACTCATTTTTAAAACTAGAGACATTCAAATTTCAGGTTTCCAGAGCATTAGGGGTTTAATACTACCACTCTGTCCTAACAATAAATAAAAAGCTGAACAAACAAAACAATAAACAAATATTCTTAAAGTCATGTGAAGATTGAGGTCACAGTGCAGACCACTGTTTCCAAAATTGGAAAGACAGGTGAACAGAGAGAATCACATCTTAACAGAGCAGAAACCTCCTTAGAAACCAGTGCCAGGTAGAAAACCTAAATTCCAATTGCTAGAGGATCGATATATGTAAATTTGAACTGGGCATAGTGGCACACCCCTATAATCCCAGCACTCAGGAGACTGAGGCAGCACAATAGCCATGAGCTCAAGGCCAGCCTGGGCTACATAGTGGTTCAAGGCCAACCTGAACTACATAGCAAGACCCAGTCTCAAAAGAAAAAATATGTATACGATTGAAACTTAAAAGTTTCAGGGAGACCACTTAGTGTGAGCCCCAACACACACACACACACACACACACACACACACACACACACACTCTTGATGAGCAAGATAAGAATTGAATCTATCTCTTTGACCCTATCCAGGCAAAAAGAGTGATGTGGTATATACTAGTTGCTGAGAAACAATAACAATAAAAACAACACAGAATTCCATACTCGGTGAAATTCTTCTTTCAAATTTATTTCAAAGAGAAATAAAGACTTTCTGAGACAAACAAAATTGAGAGAATTTATTGTCAGGAGATCTGCTTTGCATGAAATGTTAGAAGTTTTTCAGACAAAAGGATACTGTTTTGGTCAGAAACTCAGATTTATACAAACAAGGAAGAAAATCAGAAAAGGAATAAGCAAAGGTAAAATAAAGGCTTATTTTTCTTACTAATTAATTTATACATGTTCAAAATATTAGAATTTATTCAATTATCTGTACTTTTGTGTGTTCTGTATATGTATACACACATAATATATATGTGCTTAGACAAAAGTGAGATGGATATAAGAAACAAAATGGAGGAATTAGGACTGTTTTGCTTTTATAAAATATCTGTATCACCCATGAAACATAGTGTGAATTAAACCTGCAATAATTGTGAATGTGTGTCACAAAATCTAGAGCAACTACTAAAAACAGTAAAAAAAAATGTATAATTGATATGCTGACAAAGATAAAATTTAATCATATAAAATTCTTGATTCAACTATAGAATAAAAAATGTGGAAGACAAGAAACAGGAATGAAGAACAATGACCATAAATAGACAACAGTAACAGATATGACAGCTATTAATCCAGCTACAACATTCAGTGTAACCATCAATGATCTCTATATGGCAGCAAAATCATTGAGACTGTCAGTCTGGATCAAACACAACTCAATTTTTTGTTGCCTACAAGAAACCCTCCTTAAATATGAAGACATGTATAGGTTGAAAGTAAGGGTATGCCAAAAGATAGTCCATTCTAATACAAAGACTTACAAAATAGCTCCACAAACCAAGACAATTAGTATGGTAAAAATAAACACATGAATAGATTAGAACAGAATAGAATATCCAGATACAGAGCCACGTAAATGTAGTCATCTGATCTTTGACAAAGCAGCAAAAGTAATACAATAGAGAAAAGACAACCTTTTCCAGAAATGCTGCTATAAAAAAAAAAATGGACATCCACACTTAAAATGTAGGGTCTAGGCCCAGAGCTCATACCTTTTATCAAAAATTTACTCTAATTGATTCAGAGACTTAAATATAAAATACAAAATTCTAAAGATAATATAGGAAAAACCTAGATGATTTTCAGTATGCAATACTTTTTAGGTAAAACACAAAAATATTTCCCATGAAAGAAATAATTGATAAGCTAAGCTTCATTAAAATTTAGAATTTCTGCTTTTCAGAAGATGATATCAAAACACATACCAGGAGAAAATATCTGTAAAAGGCACATCTGATAAAGGACTGCCATATGGAATATAAAAAGAACCCTTAAAACTCAAAAATAAGGAAATGAACACAGTTTTAAAATGGGCAGAAGGCCTAAGTGGACACTTCAGCAAAGAAGATATGGTAGGTACAATATGAAAGATTATTCAACATCACATGTCATTAAAGAATCACAGATGAAAAAACAATGAAATATCACTACATTTCTATTAGAAGGAGCAAAATCTAAACCACTGACAACACCACACACTGACAAGAACCTGGAGCAATAAAAACTCATTCATTGCTGGTAGGAAAGCAAAAATGTACTGCCACACTGGATCAAAGTTTCAGTCTTACAAGAGTAACCATATTATATATATATATATATATATATATAAAACTATACATACATACACACAAAGCAGTTGGAACATTACATCCACACAAAAACCCACTCTCAGACTTTTATAGCAGTTTTTTAAATAATTGCCAAAACTTGGAAGCAACTAAGCTGTCTTTCAGGAAGTGAATGGATAAATAAACTGATAAATCTCCAGACAAAAGAACACTATTGATCACTAAAAAATAGTAAGCTACCAAGCCACAAAAAATAAATGGAAAAAATTAAATATATATTATTATGTGAAAAAATCCAATCTACACTACTGTATGCGCCAACAATATGGCATTTAGAAAAGGCCAGGATGCTCCTTGCAAAGAGAGGAAATGGAGAAACCCACAGACTGAAAATGGAGGCCTGGGAGGGGCAGTGAAAATACTCTGGTAGTACAGTATCGGATGCGTATCATTAAACATCCGTCGTAACTCCTACATAAAATGCAAGAATGAACTCTAGCATACACCACGTGTCAGCGTAGGTTCAGATATCACAACATACTACTGCGGCAGGAAGTGTCGGCTGGGGAAGGAGGTTTTACACAGGCGAGGTGGTGGGTGTCCAGTCATGCTGGGTACTTTCCATTAGTGCTGCCATGAACCTGCTGTGTAAGGTGTTCCTTTTCCCATCCCCATGCCAACACTTACCCTTTCCCTTCCCCTATCTCCTTTTCAAAAAGAGGTTTCTCATGTCAACCTTTGGAAGTTTAGCTTCAGGAGACCTTGGTGGGGACTTAGAAGTATCAGTCTGCTCCACAAATCCAAGGTGTTTCTGATGTGCAGCCTAAGTTGAGAATCACCGGGTACATACTGGCCCAACCATTCAAAATGAGTGTTGTTTGATTTTTCACTTATACTTCTAATCTGTCCTAGGAAGTGTGGTACAAAGTCATGTGTATTAGTTTATTAATGACAGATGATGCCTATATAACAAATATTTGCAGTTTTAGAAAGGTATTTCTTTACCTAAGTACTTAAACTAACAGAAGCCCTAGAGCCTCTTTAGAGGCTCCTGTAACAATGAGGCTGTCTCAAAGCTCTGTTCCAACCGTGCCTTCACACAAGGCAAAAAAAAGGATGAACAGTCAGGAATGTGGCAATTATGATTCCGTCATTCACAGATTCCATTGTCTTCAAGAGAACAAGTAACATTAACCATGGCCTGCAAGCACATATAAAACAAAAAGCTTGTTATGAGAAGAGAAAACCAATAATGGCATAAGAAGCCTTGATGTTCCTTCATAACTGAGGTCTATTAGTCCCATGGCTTGGAATTTAGAGGGACAGACTGGGGATCGTGGAGTTCCCAGCAAATCCAGGAAAACATAGCTCTCTCGTTTTCAAACGATGGAAATGGTCTCTCTGGAAGCCCAGATGTTTTCTATCTTTCTAAGTTGCAATTATTTCAACACATGATTTTAGCTCTACTCAGATCAGATCAGGGCCACCTGTTACATCCTCTGCAGACTCATGAGAAATTTAATGTTAAATTTGTATTTATGGTTTATTTAGAAAAGTTGGAATGCAGTTGAAAGGAAGCTTTTAAAGTCATCTTGATTTCCAAAGATGTGTATAGGGCAGATTAACAGTCAAAATACTGTGTTGTGTAAACATAATCAAACCTAATTTTATGATTCATCATTACATAAATTTGAATATAACTCAGAGTTAAAAACACTCACCTGGAATAGAACTATATGCATAATATAACATCACTGAGTTTTGTTTTGTTTTTTGTCTTTTTCTTTTTTGTTGGTACCAGAGATCGAACTCATGACCACACACTTGCAAGGCAGGTGCTTATGCCACTGAGCTAAATTCCCAGCCCCACAGCACTGAGTTTTAACAAAATTACTAATCCCAAATGAAAAATGTATCCATTATAATGTATTTTACTATAGGGTTAATACTTTGTTGTCAAGATTGATTTTATATACATTTAAATTTTCTTTAAAATTAATTATTTTCACTCTGATGTCAATAAAATATCACTATAGATTTATATAACTATGTATCAATTTTATACTGGTAAAAAAATGCTTGCAAAAAAATCTTCAGTAAATTAATGTTCATTTCAACAGTAAATGTTTATTAAGCTACTATGAGGCAGGAACTATTCTATGCACTGGGATACAGCAGGGAACAAAATACACAAAATTTCTATTGAAATGATAAATTTATAGTTAACACTGAGAAAACAAAATGCTGTGGTAAACAAAAAAATTATATAATATCATGATATTTATAAACTAGACTGATTTTTTTTTATTTAAGGAGAAAAAGAAAAAAAAGCAGAAAAAGGGTACATGTTATACAGAATTTCAGAAAAAATAAACAGTAGGAAATCACTAATTAATGGTTTACATATTGTTATCTTAGAAATATTTGTTCAAGTTACAAAATTAAAGCATATAAAGTGGACATTCAAACACTGAGACTGCAAACAGTTCTGTTCAATGATCCAACAAAACTCAGTAATATCATTGTCTATCTTATACACTTAAATATACATGCAGTTATATGGTTTAGAGCACTTTCTTTTCCACTCTTTTGTACAATGACTATTACACATTTTGGGTTTTATTACTCCCACAGTTCTTATTACATTTTTGGAACAGAGTAAAACCAAATGTGACATAACAGAACAGAGTCAGTCAAATCAAAAGGCTGGACATAATAATGTAAAAATATAATACAAGGTGATCAACAATGGTTACCATAATGCCTCCCGCTATCTCTAGTAGAATTGCCTATATCATCAGTTATAATAAAATTGAACAAAACAGTAAAGAATGAAACCAACAAAACTAAAGCATTGGAGACATTACAGGTCTTCAAGAGTAGATAATAGTCAACCAGAATGGGCATCATAATGAATCCCACTATTTTCACAGCTGTTGCCTAAACTTTCAAACCTGGTACTATCAAACAAAACAGAATAGAGGAGCATCAGTCAAAACAAGACGGTGAGAGCAATACAGGGCTTCAAATCAAGTTAATAGAAAATCAAAGTGGGTTACTATAATATATTCTGCTATTTTTTATTTATTTTTCCCTTAATTAAAAGGATAAAAATAAAAAAGTAAATAATAAAATGGAGATTGAGATAAAAGAGGGCATAATAACAAAACAGCACAGATCAAAACATAACCATTTAAGCAAAATAGTGTTTCACCATAAGATAATCCCAACATAAGAGTAGTTACCATATTGTCTCTTTTCTTGAAATCTTTGAGTATAACTTTGTATACTGTAGCATCAAATATATCAAAACAATGTAAAACCATTCAAGAAAATGACAGTATTACAGGGTATTTAGAATCAACTAACAGAAAATGAAGTGGTTTCTGTATAATCTCCTTGTCTACAAAAGTTTTTGTTTATACTATCACATATAATAAAATCCAATAAGATACAACATGTTAAGACCTATGGAGACAGAAGAACAAAAGCTTGATAGGACTTCAAAACAAGATGATATTAAATCAGCATTACCTATTATGACGTCATTTTCTCTGAAATAGCTGTTCCTATCATCCAATCTTCTCTGCCTCATTTCTGTTGAGATCTTTTTCTGTCATTAGTTGTCAGTTTGTCTTCTTCATTTTGTTTTCTGCTCCATTCATTGTGGCCTCTCTGCCACTATTTCTGGATTCTTAGTATTTTTCTTTTTTAGAATATCCTGCAGTATTCGCTGTAGAGTTGAATTGGTGGTTGCATATTCCCCTAGTTCCTCTTTATCCTGGAAGCACCTTGTTTTTCCATCAATTTCCAGGGATAGTTGTGCAGGATATATCAATCTTGGCTGGAGGTTATTATCTTTCAATGCTTGAATTTTTCCCCCCACGCTCTTCGTGATTTGATGGTTTGTGCCGAGAAGTCTGCTGTAATTCTGATGGGTGTTCCCTTGTAAGTGATCTGTTTCTTGTCTCTGATGGCTGTTAGTATTCTGTTCTTATATTGGATTTCTGGTATTTTGAGTATTATATGCCTGGGTGTAGCTCTGTTTGGGTTGTAGGTGGCTGGAGTCCTGTATGCTTCATACATCTGAGTATCTTTACCTTTTGCTAAATTAGGAAAATTCTCCTGGATTATTTCTGTGAGTAGCTTTTGTAGTTCATTGGTTTGTGTCCCTACCTCTTCTTTTATGTTCTTAATTCTTAAGTTATAGATCCTCTTATCATCTTCTAGCCTTTGTATTATTGCTGTTTGTTTCTTTGTTATTTTTAAGAAGTTTTTCATTTCATGCTCCCATATTACAAATTTGCCCTCCAGTTCAGATAATCTATCCTTAGTTTCTTTCAAGCTGTTAAGCTAGTTTTCAATAGAGTTTTTAGTTTCCTGGTAATCTCTTTGAACCTGCTTCACATATTCTTTGTCTTCTCTATTTTCTCCATCAAACAATTCTCCCCTTTTTTTCTGTTCTTCCATTCCACCATCTGTTTTTTCTGGGCAGTGCTTAGCATTTCTCTAACTATTCTGCTTATGTCTTGCTTCAGGTCATTAATAACTTCATTCCTGAACTCGTCTATGAGGCTCTGGAGATCACGATTTATGTCTATTGGTGTCGTGTCTGCTATTGCATGTTTTTCAGGATTGGGGGCCGAGGAGCCTTTCTTGTTGCTCCCTCTTCCCATATTCTTTGTTCCTTATATACAAGCGTATATAGCAGGCTGAGCTTCCTTCCCTGTTGGCCACAGTCTGTTTGAATCACACTGGCTAGGTGTTCCCGCCCACCGCAGCGCACCAGGGAGTTATGGACCGGGCAGCCTATGTGGGGCCCACCCCTCCAGATCAACCTACCGAAGGCTTCACCGCTAGGGTGCACCTCCAGACGCTGGGACATGGGTTGTGCTAGCCTACTGGGTCTCAGCCAGCAGTGTCACATAGGCTAGGCACTGCTCACCAATCCAGCTTGAGAGGAAGATATGTGACTGAAGTCACTACAGCGCCCTGTTCCAGCAAGTCTGCCCGGTTCCAGAATGTCCTCTGTTGGAGCCTCCTAGATCATGGAAGAGTCCCAGTTTCTCTCACTCACCACAGGTCGATGCATAGCTCCCCGCCCGTCCCACTCTCAACTCAGTTCACCGATTCCTGTTCTCAGAGCTTTCACGGGTCTCTCTCCCTGCCGAGCCGATGTAGACGCAGCAGAGGCGGCGGGAAACCCAAACCGCAGTTTCCAATGGCTTGGGCTCCAGCTTCCATGCTGAGGCTTTATCTGTTCCTGTTATAGCACCAGGATTGCATTCCCAGTTGGTTTCTCTCAGCCCAGTTCGTTCTTGGGTCAGCAGGGTATATCTCCTCTTGCTTAGGATTCCTCACTCCGCACCATTCCTGGATTCTAAGCTGGGTCTCTACGTAGGCTCTCTCTCCGTAGCTGCTGCTATCTGTCCGCCATGTTCTCCCCGACCTAGACTGATCTTCTAAAGTAAATATTATATATTATTCATTATTGCAGCACTGTAAAAATTAACAGCAAGTGATATTATTCATCATAAAACAATTGCTAGGTTGAAAAGTGATGAGGAACAGCAGCACACTTCCTCATCTACTCCTTTCTTTTGATCACTTAGGTATAATTGTAAATTAAGAAAGACATGGAGAAACCAACTGCAAAGTCTCACATACAATGAAATTGCTTGAAATGTAAGGATATGAGTTTGCTTTCATTGTGACTATAACCCAGTCACAAATGTGACTGTTGGTGGTTTGCATGGCTTCAGTTTCTCCGTTTTCTTTTATTATCTATGATAATAAGTGACAGAATTAGAGTATACATTGCCATTTACTTTCTTTTTACAATTCCAGCTATAACACCTACTTTGCATTATATTTTAATCTTGAATAAATACAGTTTTAAAATATAGAAGGGCCAGAAATACCAACTGTAAAATGAAGACAATTCTCTTTCCATGTTAAATACAATGTCAGAGTGGCAGACTGGAAAATCTCTGCAGGCAAATGTGATGTCACTGAAGAATCACACACTTACCTGTAAAGATTCTGCAGTCTGACAGCTTCCAGCATCAAACTGTTTCATTAACTGTGCTTTTCCGCATGCAGTTTTTTGGCTTGGGATAAGTCTAGCCAAGTAACTAAATGGTAGCTAACTTATTGAATTTAGGCTTCATCTGAACCAAGGGAACTACATGTCTTAAAACGGTCAAATCTAAACTAAGATGATTGCTTGTAACACGATTTAAAAGCAGTTGTTATAAACATGCGACCCCTGAACTAGAGTCAACAGTATCCCCTGGGGACTGTTATAAATTTAATTTCTTGCACCCACACCAGGCTTCCTGAATCAGAAATTTCAAATGCAATATGTTCTTAACAAGCTCTGTAGGTGATACTGATTCATACTCAAATTTGTTACCACCAGCTTAAAGAAAACAAAGGAGTACTGAATATGTAACTGGAGTACTGAACCCAATGGCTCTTCCACTGTTAAATAATATATGCAAAAGGCAGATGAAATAATATGTAATTATAAAAACATTTAGAATTCATTTATTTTCTAAAGTTATGATATTAATGAACAAGCATTAATAATGAAAAGAAACATCTTCCTTTAACTCTTATCTTGCCAATGGTATTACAGAGCTCTACTTATTTCCTCTGAAATAAAGAGTTAAGAAATCTTATTTAAGAGGAGAAAACGTTTTCATGTTTGGGAGGATTAAAAGGGTACTGACATCATTCAAGTCATGAGCCATAATTCTTATTAGATTTTATTGCTACATTCTTCACACAGCTTTGGAAAGTTATTCCTAAGAGCATAAAATATGCACTTAGACTTCACACAGAGAAGGAAAATGCTCTCACAATGAAGTTATTTTAGCCTAGCCCAATAATATTTGAAAGACCTAAGACTTTTTCTCTATGTAACATATCTTGGCAAAACAAGTGATGACTTTATATAAATTTGTCTTTTTCAACATCTTTGCTGTTGAAACAGTTAAATTTGGCTATAAATTAGCAAATTTCAGTAACTAAAATATTTTTCCTTTTGAACCTATCAAAATTGCACAGCCAAAGAGCAAAAAAAAAAATCAAAAGTTGAACTTAGCTTTTAATGGCAATGAATAAACTACATGATTTGATTCTTACAAACTAGAATATAGGATTTAAAACTTTGGTGTGCCTATTATCCAATAACTTCTAGTAGCATGTTAAAAAGTCATCTGCAGTCTCATTCTTAGTTCAGTTTGATTATCCTGGACCACCCCAGTTTCTCATGATGTGATGGAAAAAATTGTAGCATTCAATAATTGAATTAGATCACACACAAAGTAAGACTTACTCAGATTATAATAATGAGGTTTGGCTCATTCATTGAAAAGCAAGAGCCCAACTATGTCCAACTATGTACTGCAAACACAGTACTAGAGATCAACAAGATGTTTTAGACACTTTAAATGGCCTGAAGGAAGTAAATTTTCTTAGATGAAGATAAACATCTAAGTGTCATTAAATCTGTTCAGTCTTGATGTAGTTTCTGGGCAGAAGCTCCAAATGGTAATCTTAAATGCCTCTGATAATAAAAGAATTATTAACCAATGGGTATCATCCAATATACAGAATCTTTCAAAACATGGGATTCCATTGGAGGGAACAACAAAAAGCAATGCTAGGATTTAGTGTCCTCCCAGGTAGCGTGAGGGCTGGAGGGAGTGTAACTGCTGGAAACAACTCACAGCTGCTACTACATGAACCACTCTATACACAATTTTCTAATTTCCTTCTCTCACAAAACTAGCAAGGCTATTTTTTACAGTCTTGTTTTATGAATAAAAAAATACTGAAACCCAAAAAGGCATAAATGAGAAGGAAAGGAATTAACTGAATTAAAAAACCCAACATCTGAGACAAATACTATGAAGGAACAAGCCTAGAACTATGAAATCAGGAAACCTGGGCTTTAAATATCAGATTCACCTGCCTAAATTAAGCCTCTGTGTATTGAATTTCCTAATCTATAAAACAAACAAGGTGTTCTGTTTCTTATTTATGTCCTATAGCTGAGAAAACACTCGTCAATTATAAAGAACTTGTTAAAAAATGTAGTGTTGTTATTATGCTTGGGGAGAACTGTATAGGCCTCTAGCTGTAATTTGGTGCCACCCAAAACTGCACCCATGGATATGGAAACTGTAAGAAAGAGGATGCTGATAAGAGGAATATCACTTCCGTAGGTCCCTCCTAAGTACATTGGTTTCTGTCTTTGATCACCCTGGCCCAGCCATGTTCCCAGCCCTAGTAATCCCAAGAACACTGACCCTTCTTCTGACGCACAGCTTCTTTGGAAGGACTGCTCCACACAAGTCCACATGGTCTTTCCTTGTATGACCAGGTGACAGGTTTCCTCTTACCTTTCAAGGATGTTGGAGTTTGCAATAAACAGGTAGCTAAAATCCATCAGTGCCCAAGGACCTATGTAGAATAAAAAGCTTGGTTACCAAGTGCTCCCCGACAAAGACCTGAAATTCCTAACTGGAAACAATCTTAACAGATACTTAAGAAACTCCATCATTCACAGATTCATAACATTCAGATATTGAAAGGAAAATAGTGACCACTTCAGCTAAGTTATTCTTCGTGTACTGTCTGAGTGCTAGGCATTTTACACAGCCCCATTTAGTCCTTGCAATAACCTTAAAGTGCATGAAATTCATAAGTCAGTGATCTTATTTCACAGATAAGAAAAACTGAAGCTTCTAGTGATTTAACAAAGGCCTTGAACCAGGTCTAATTGACCCCAAAGCCCCTGATTTTAACTATTTTCTGACTCTAAGGCTCAGAGATGAAGTAGCCCAAGGTCTTATAGTTAGTTAATGGCAAACTTGAAATTATACTTTAATTTCCTTTACACCATATGACAGTTATTCCTAAACAATTTATTTGAGTGGCCTATATTTTTATAAAAGGTACTTGAAAGAATTGTTGAATCTGTCATAGAAAAATGAACAGATGATTCAAATCATAGCTGCTAAACCATAGCACACTGGCTACCATGGACATCTGGAAGGTTCTTATGAATTATACATCTATTTATACTTTTTTCCCAATAGCTAAGTGCTAAAATCATGGCTTTCTATTGCTGAGGACAAAGAAAACCATTAAATTCACAAGTTAGTATTTATAAAAGATGCTTCATCCTTTCGTAATGTTGGTGATTTAAAAGTAAAAAACATTAATACATTTGTATCACCACAGGAGTCATGAGGAAGGAGGATTTTTAAGATCAGGCATAGTTTAGCCCTTATAAACAGATAAATGCACCATGTTCATATGCATCATCAAATTTACACATCAAAATTCAATTTTATCTTTGGCAAAGTTGAAAATGAAGAATCCATTAAAGATATTACAATCCACAAAGAATAGATAACTTTCCGTTTCTGGGCTTTTCCTTTATTGCCCACAACAGTGGCTGTTATGGACAACCTTTTTAAGTGGACAAATGACTGTTACCAAAAAAAAAAAAATGCACATACCAAAATCTGATCTAATAAGATGAGTAATTGTTTTACTGGATTGTAATACTGATTTATTGAAGCAGAGGAAAATACAAAAGGACCTTTTTGTTTTTGGTGTTTTTACCTCAGCATTTGTCTTCCCCTCTGTTTCTATTTTTCATCATTACCTGTTATTTTCTTTCCTTCCTTCTATCTCTGTGTTTGGTTGTTAGGAAGAATGGACGTAAAGTGTAAAATAATTTCAATTGATGCATAAAACACATCATCACTAATACACAGAATAATCTCTCCTGAGGCTCCAACCAGGAGCTTCAAAAGAATTTAAAGTCATATTTGTTTGCACAAGTTATTGCTTTAGGAGGGTCGCCATGAATTATATAAAAGGGTAACTTATCATCATTATCATAATCAACAAATATCTGCTAAGCACACAATGTGCTTGGAATATTACCAAGAGCAGTATACTTTTGAAGACTTTAACCAACACATCCCTTTTTAAGTGAGCATTCCTCTTTGAACCTCAGTTTTCAATCCTAATAAATCTGAGAGGTACATTAAATTATCTCTTATTTAAGTTTTTAATTATGCCTTATAATATCTCATTTTTATGGGTTTTTTATTTCAAATTTTCTCCAACTCATTTTTTAGAACGAGCCCTCTTTTCTCACTTGATGCATAAAGTGTCTTAACTGCTTACATCTGATTTCAGATATCTATGTTGAGAGGGCTCAGATTTATTTAAGAAACTAAGCATTTGAAGACTATGAGGGCTAAATATTTATAAAGATGATAATATTCTCTTTCTTGAACTGGGTCGTGGTTACAAGGGTGTGTTCACTTTGTGATAATTCATCTAACTGCACACATATGATTTCTGCATTTCTAAGTATATTTACCTCAATAAGCTTAAAAATGTGTATAAAAATATTTACATCCCCTCCCCAAACACATTCAAGCCCACAATCAGAAGGGCCTGAATATTCATTCTCCCCTTCAGCCCCAATCTCTTACCCTATGGAATTAACTCTCCCACCCTCCTCCTGAGAGACTGTTTTGGAATCCCAGGCCTCAGGCATTAGATATTCTTCCCTTAAGTTTTTCACTCCCAAATGGACTTTCCTGCCTAGACAGGGCCTCTGTTTTCTCTAATAGGTCCTGAACTTCCCTTAACACCTCCCAAATGATGTAGAAAGCGTTTCTTTTCATTTTTCTTCACAGCATGATCTCCAACCAGACTTGCCAATGCCTCACAAGGCCCAGGTCTGCTTCCACGGTTCGCCTTCACAAAGGGTTAGCAGTTATAGCTATGGCTCCTAGTTTCTGCATTTTTCAGTATATCTCTGTAACTTGTGTTTCTAGAAAATGAGCTCCATCTTACCTTATCTCCATGTAAAGATACTGTGATGAGATATTCAGTCATTTCAATTTAAGAACTTTTCTTATTGTAAAGGTCCAGTAACATAATCTTAAAATTCTTAGTGCAAGATTACACACATGGAAATCACTCATTAATAGTAGTTTGTTATATTATTCATAGCAGTATGCTTCCATATTAGATATTATCAGGCACTTTGCATACTTTCCATAAATAGTCTTATGTGAACCTCTAACGCAATCTCATTAGATCAATTTTGAGATTCTTTTTTAAATTAGAAAACATATTTCTATAGGGAGTCAGGTTCTTTTGCTGGGTTACTAGCCATTTAAACTGACTATGGGGATGCATTTGCTTCTAAATAACTACCTTCTTGCAGAATGTGAATCCTGCCAGACTGTGGCATGGCACTCAATAAGAAGCCACTAAGTTCCCATCAGGGACATTGAGAATTTCAGAAGACATTTCAAACCTGGCCTTTGCTGCAAAAAGTTGACAGTGGGTAAGTTAACTTTTTTGCAAACTTGTCCAACATTTTACTAGCAAGACTGAAGTGTTTACCAGCTTCAAGCACCCAATCATCATCTGCTCTTCTGTTTGTTGCCTTTAGCATCTTCTCCATCCTCCCAAACCAAGTATTCTCATAGAAAACTGGGACAGTTTTCAGACCGAACTTAAGTTTACAGACTGAATTTTCTTCTCTTTTTTTTTCTTTCAGTTTCATTTTACAGACTGAACTTTCTTCTCTCTTGCAAGAACCCTCAGGTATGGATTCTAAATAGTCTCTCCTAAAAATTTCCAAGACTAATCCACTTGTTTCTGTTATTTTGGGTGTACTCTACCAAAGAAGGTAGATATTAATTGATTCAGCCATTATAAGTATAAACCCACTGAGTCAGATCAATGGTTCATATTAAGAAATAATTAAACTTAATTATTTCTATGTCTCTGGTCTCCAGAAAAAGAATCTTCAAAACACTCTTTTTTGTAAGAAAGGGAGGTAACATAGCCAAATTTTACGAGCTACAGCCCAATTATTCATAGGCAATCCCATGACTCTTCTTATGGAAAATAATTTATTTCTGATTACTCATTATTATCCAGCCTACTGATGGCTTTTCTTGAAGAAGTTATTTAGTCATCTGCTTCGCTCCCAGTTTTGGAGAATGTAACATATCTCCTTAAGTGGAGCTGACTTCTTTTTTATAGCTTTGTAAATGCTTAAACTGGAGAAGGCTAAAGCCTATTTTATGGGGGCCACCCTTTGTATCAATAATATTTACAAGTATGCTGTTGTTAATTGTGACTACCTGTTTAAGAATGCCTGCACCATTCAGAATGTAGGAAGCACAGCAGTGGGAAGCTCAGCTCAATGGCAGTTCCAGCCCTGGCCTTGGGCTGGACATCCACAGCATGACTCAAACTCCCTGCTTGTAACGCCTTATCTCTAGACACCATTCTCCATGAATCCCTTTCTCTATTCGTAATCACTTCTAATCCTCATGCTCTTCTGTCTGACCTTTCCTTCCCACAAAAATCCAGAAAGTATGCACTTCATAAACAAACAAATCCATTGACAAAGATAAATCTATTCGGGGCAGCTTTACCAAAATTCAGCCTCAAACTGGTATTTAACAAAACTGCAGCCAAAATGCTCATTTGTAACTTCAGCCAACTATTTTATTGAAACCAATTTAAAGTCAAATATCTTTTGAATGCCTACAAGGCTACAAAAATAATAAATAATATTTGGCTCTGTTTCAAACTTCAGAGGCTTCAGAGTCTCAATCACAGAAAGAAGAAGAAGACCAGGTAAAAGAAAAAGGCCTGCAAAAGGCTGTTGCTTGTTTAGTGAAATCAAATAGAGGAAGATCTCTGGGGAGGGTTCAAGTGCTTAGCACAACTGCTAGGAAAATGGGATATGGAAGAAAGGAACATCGAATGGGTTCTTATGTGTCTTCTTGGTCATCAACACTTTTTTGTTTGGTTTTCATAGTTTTTTTTTTTTTTTTTTTTTGAGTTAATTTCCAAAAAGGGGAATTCAAAAGACAAGCAGATGTGACAAAATTAGTACAGTTTCAGTACTAGTGTACGTAGTATCCAAGCACCTGAGATGTTTGAGAATTTACACTTGAAATCAAAAGAAAGATTAGATTTCTAAACAGTTTGTCTCAGATGACTGAGTGCTCAAATCCACAGAGAAAAAAAACTAAATTACACCTATAGCTCACTTCAACTTTTTTTTTGAAGGTAGTAAAATACACACACACACACACACACAAACCAAATAGAACAATAAAAAGGTACAGAAAATCTCCAATAAAATTATGATCACGAAAGCATGCATTTCAGTCCCTCCCAAGACATCCATAGAGACATCTTCCATGAATTCGGTCAAATCTCCAGAATATTTGGACAGAATGTATAGCTAATGTTACTTTTTCACTCTACACTGCTACTGGTTTTTGGTTTATTGACCTGTGAATTATCTGTCCTTATTAGTAAGTCTTAGTTAATCAAAAACCACTTTTTATAAGTTGTTTCCTTTTCCTTTTTTTTTAAACATCCACATCAGTAAC